TATATGTATATATATATATATATATATATATATTATTATGTGTATATATATATATATATATATATATATATATATATATATATTATATATATATAATAATATTATATATATGTGTGTGTGTGTGTGTGTGTGTGTGTGTGTGTGTGTGTGTGTGTGTGTGTAACACACACACACACACACACCACACACACACACACAACACACACACACACATATTATATATATATATATATATATATTATATATATATGTGTGTGTGTGTGTGTGTGTATATATATTATATATATATATATATATATATATTATATATATATATATAATATATATAAACATACACACACACACACACCACACGCACGCACGCACCACACACACACACACACAATGCACACACATCACACACATACACACACACACACACACACACACACACACATACACACACACACACACTTATATATAATATATATATATTATATATATATATATAATATAATATATATATATATATAATATATATATAATATATACAGACACGTATTTATTAGATAGAAGATATAGATATTTTTATATATATACACATACATATGAATTTTCAGTTAAGTGATGGCATAATGATGTGTTTCAAGCTTGCTCTGTAACACGCAATATCCAACGTATGTTTCATGAATCATATTATGAGAAACATAAACTGAGATAAATGAAGATTCTGTATTTTTAAGAGAGAGTATCATCTTGTTTTAATTATAATTTTATAGACCTTTTCGGCTCGACTCGCGTAGCAACAATCGCTAGGTGTAAACAAATCGCTTTGTGTTGTTGTAAACAGTGAGCACTAGTGAAGTAGTTTTCAATAAAGTTTTATCCGAACTTCGCCGAGAAAACTAAACAAACCATAACATGATGGGGAAAAATATTCGTTTTTGTGTTTTTCTAACATGTTAGAATATTTAACAAAATCTTTTATATATTTTTGTTTAGTAAAGTTGGTTTGTTAACTACTTATCGTTGGCGTGATTACTAGGCCTATCTTCCTTCAAGTCGACCAATCATCTGATTTCCATCCAGATTACGTGCCAAACATTTTCACGTTTAGGAAATGCAGTTGAAAAGGTACGAAAGTGCAGAGAAAAGAGCGAGATATGAGCATTGATGTCAAGATGAAACATACTGTTTTTTTCGAGTACGAAACTTCAATTTCAACATCAGACACCCCAGGTTTGTGGTGCCCAACTTCCCCATATAACGTTCCTTTGCAACGCTCGGCAATTCAGCGAAGTAATTATATGATATTTTGTCCCAAGAACGACTCAAAAGTATTCCGAAAATACCCCTCAGTATACTACAAACTACATACTACGAACCGCTGTGAACTGTGTTTGTTTCCACTCAGTGAATTTGGTTGTCATTGACAACGCCCCTCGTGACGCCAAACCGAAAAGGTCTATCAACATTACGAAGACATACAGACTCATTAATATGAAAATAAATATACTTTCATAATTTATAGTGCCAGCAATACCCCATAAGTGCCCATAAATCCTTCTCTAGAGACCATTGAAGTGATTCATTACACTTTAGAATTACAGAATATTTTTAATTTTTCACATTGAGAGAGAGAGAGAGAGAGAGAGAGAGAGAGAGAGAGAGAGAGAGAGAGAGAAGAGAGAGAGAAGAGAGAGAGAGAGAGAGGGAGAAGGAGAAAAAAGAGAGAGAGTGAGAAGAGAGTAGAGAGCAGAGGAGAGAGAGAGGATAGAATAAATTCATAAAATACCAGCATAAATGTAAAGCCCAGCACAGTATATATTTCGTCACTGCCATGGTATTAGTAGAATACATAGGACAACAAATCCATTATTATTTCAATGTGGATGTTCACACGCCGAAAATAATTATATGTATTACTCGTTCCTTTGGCCACAACCCGTATGCTCAAAACACAAGATGATTCAACATGTATTGTCATAACTAGCCACTCCTGATTAACATCAATTTGTATGGATCTTAAAAAAGAGAGAATACATCTTAATTTCTAGATAAAATATATTTGCTATTTTTCTCAATATTTTATTGTCACCAATCTACTATTATTTTATTGTTAGGCTACAATCCTTAGCATTAGAAGAGGCACCCTGGCTTTCAATTTTACGGTTAACTACATGTATAGTTTACGTTTTTCTTAGTACAGTCTTAGTTGACATGCCAAAGGGCAACAGGAAAAATTATGAAATGAAAAAGAAATAATGATAGGAAAGTGTTTGGGGAAATGATGATTAGGATGGAACTGGTCAGGAGTATCCTAAACAAGCTTTATATATAGAGCGCCCTTTTCAGTGTTTTTTTTTTCTCTCTTTATTTATATAGGCCTAGAGCACTTGTATATAATTATTGACCATTATTCCCTTCTCTCTCCGATTTTCAGCTGTCCTCCAAGGTATAAACAACTTGCAAAATGAAGTTAGTATGAAAAGACTCGTTTTTCTTACGACTTGAAGTACATAACAAGCCAACAGGGTGTATGCGTAGTATAACACTCTCCAATCCAGTTATTAGGTTCAGCACCTACTCCTCTGGCCACACTGTTATTCTCTACACAAGGTGGGGTTCAGCGAC